ACCAAAGTATTCTTTTTTTTTTTTAAATGGCAGGAAGGAAGTGGAAATAGAGTAAGTGCTCACTGGGGAATGGCTAAACAAACTATTTATACCACACTATAGAAAGTGATGTTGATGAAGAGAAGTATGGGAAGAATATGGACTGATACAAAATGAAATAAAAACCATGAAAACAATGTATACGATGACAACAATGGAAATGGAAAGGACAATAAAACAAAAATGAACACTGTAATTATAATAAACTAGTTGGTCCTGGAAAATAGTTGAGAAAATTTACTTCTGGTTCAGAATTAGATATACATTAAAACATATATTTTAAGACATGGCCCATGTATAGATGTATTGATTTGGTTTTTTTTTAAACTGTACTTCTGTATTAAAAGAGAGGGCTTTCATGGGGGTCATTTATAGAGATAAAGATGAAAGAAAAAGGGACAGCTAGGTGGCATAGTGGATAGAGCACTGGCCCTAAAGTCAGGAGGATCTGAGTTCAAATCCGGCCTCAGAGACATGATACTCACCTAGCTGTGTGACCCTGGGCAAGTCACTTAACCCCAATTGCCTTGCCAAAAAAAAAAAGAAAAAGATGAAAGAAAAAGAAAAAAATATAACATTAAAATACAAATAAGGAAACAGAAAAGTTCTGAAAGGGCTGTATTGTTACTATCATGCTACCTTTAATATGCACTTTTTAAAAAAACCTGTTTTTAAGTTTGCAGTTTTATATACAGTTCTCTTTTTAGTTCCTTGCATGTGCTTAGGCTTGTTACGTTCACAATAAAAAAAAAATTGGGGGTTTTTTGGTTTTTTTTTTAAAGTAAACCTTCTAGAGCAGGGACTCAACCTTTTTTTTGTCATGGACCCCTCTGGCAGTTTGGGGAATCTCAGGGAAGAATCCCTTCTCAGATTAATATTTTTTAAATGAATAAAATATATAATATATAGGAGGGATTTCCTTTGCAAAGGAAATCAATTATGTTGAAAGTTATGCAAATATATATTTTTAAAAGCTCTTGGACCCCAGGTTAAGAACCTGTTGTAGGGGTAATTCCTCCCTCAAAAAAAAAGACAGAAAATGCCATTCTCCGTTTTCTTGGCAAAAGCTTGGAGACTCTTGCTGTGGGACTTTGCATATACATCAAGCATGGTCGATGTGTTGGTTGGTCTTACTGATCTTGTTTTTATCTTTTTTAATCTTTGTTACAAGGGAAGTCTCCCTAGTCAGGAGAGGGAGGGGGGATACATTCAGAAATGAAGGGCATGTGAAAAGAAGCCATCAATAAAAGGAACAAAAAGCAATATTGATGGGAATAGCAGTTGAAGCTAAATGTTTGAACTCCCAGGTGAGCCCTTTCATGCTTCATAGTTTTAAAGCTGAAGAAGTCTTTGCTGTGCAATGATTTGGTAAAGATAAAATGTCCCCAGTTAATCTAGGCAAGAACAGAAGGGCTTATTTTTCAAACATTGAATTTCATTTAATAAAATGAATATAGATTGATTGTTAAACCCCGAGCTTAGAGAGAACACATTCCTCTTTTCACAGCAAACCAGATGTCGCCAGTGAGGCTTAAATGGCTCAAGTTGATGTGGTTTACATCAGGCCAGACTTGAGTCAAGATGTGTCTCAGGTAATCATATTACCCTTTGCATTACTGGGAGAAACTGCTGTTGAATTGGGACACCTGCAGACTCAAATGTGTTACTGACCAGCATCTGGTTTTTGGTTACTTCAGAGACATTTGGGTTTCAGTGTTCAACAGCTAATGAGATGGCGAGAGAAGCAGAATTGCTTTAACAGCTCTTTCAGACCTTTCACGGACACTTACGTTTTGAATTTAACCCAAATCTTAGGACCAACAGCTTTCAAATTTTGAATCTCTCTCTTCTCATTTCCTTAATAAAGACAGGTTTGAAATAAAGCAGTCTAAATACAAAACAATCCCTGCTCATGGGCTTTGGAAAGCTATTTGGGCAAAAGATAGAGGATGGACCGGTGATTTCATTGGTATAGGGAACTCACAGGTGAGCAGACTCCCTCTACCAATGTAATTTATAATCTTGAGTTGCCTGAGGGGTCAAGTGATTTGCCCAGGGCCACACAGCCAGTATATGTCAGAGGCATTACTTCATTCCATGTCTTCGTGGTCAACACTCTGTCCACTTTGCCACACTGCCTACACAAGACAAATCAAAAAGAAAACCTCCCAGACATCTCTAGCATTATCAGTGAAAACTTCACATCCGGGCTTGATTGCTGCAACAGTGTCTACAAAACCTTTCAGGACAATGAGCCCACATAATCCATAGAACCAGTCAAGTTGTTAAAATAGCAGTACTGTATGTAGAAAGTGCGTGTGTTTCAGGCAGAAGTGATAGGGAAGCAACATTCAATAAAATCCAACAAGCATTTCTTAAAACATATTATGTGCCAGACACTGTATTTGGTGCTAGGGAGACAAAGGCTAAAGTGGTCCCTGCCCTCAAGTTCCTGACATCCTACATGGGTGCCTGAGGGGAGGCCAGCAAGGGGGTCTCTGCTTCCTACAGGCAGGAAGGACTCACAAGTTTCTAAAGCAGCCCAAGCCCTCCCTCACTTCAATCCAGTTCACTCATATGTCATGGCATCACCTCTCAGATGTCATGGTTCTCTTCGAGATCAAAGGACAAATACCAACAATCTGATAGGAAAGCAAAACCTTTAAAAAAAAGGTGGGGGGGATCTAAACAAATTTTAGAAGTAGGACATGTTTGGAATCACAGAATTGGTATCCTATAAATTTATCAGGGTACCCTAACCAGGGACATTTCTGTGTCTGTCTCAAAAAGGATGACTGTATGTGGCATGCTCTAACGAACACCCTGATTCTCTTAGGAAGAATAAAACAGTACGCTGTGGTTTGCAAAGTATTTGACATCTCATTTGACTGGCACATGTGAGGTAAGTGCTACTACAATTCAGTCTCATCTTACAGACAGGAAACAAGCAGAAAGAAGTCGCCACTTACTTGCCCATGGTCACACAGTTAGGATTGGATTTGGGAACTGGCCTTCTTGCCTAGGGGTCTTTGTACTACCTCTCCCTCCCGGGGCAAGAACACATAAGGCCTTTCCTGGCAAGGTTACTTACTTATTATGTACTGGTCTCTTCTGATAGAATGGAAACTCCTTTAGAGTAGAGACTAATTCATTTTTTTTTCTGTCTCTCCAGTGCCTGGCACACAGTCGACACTTAATGTTTGTTGTACCTACCTCCTAACAGATGACAGTGCAGAGTAAGACATTTTCAGACATGGACAATATGACAAATTGTTTTGTTTGATTATACATATTTGTTACAAGGTTTTGAAGAGAAATAGTGATAGTGTTAACACAGTTAAAAAAAGCCATTGGAGCATTTTTTTTTAATTCATAGAAGGCAAGGCAGAAGGAATCACAGATAAGCGGGACAGCTTTGAAAGTTACACAAATCTGGATTTTATTATATACTTAAAAGGAAAAGCAAGCTATACATAAGAGATTTGCAGGTTCACATGCAATCTTTTTTACTGCCTTTTATTTGGTGTTTGTTAAATTCGGAAGTTTTTAAAGCCCCAAATAAAACAAATGTGTTTGATTGAGATTCAAACCCAAGTCTCTCCTAATTCCAAGCCCAGTACTCTTTCTACCAACATCAAATGCCAGGCAGACAAATCAAAGGGAGGAAAAGTCATTCATTCTGGAATTGCCCTTTTTACTCCCTAATATACAAGTGAACATTAACTCCCAAACTCTGCTGAGGTGGGGAGAAAATTCAATTCAATTCATGTTGTATCTGTCAGACACTGGGGGTACAAAGATAAAAATGAAACCATTCCTCCCTCAAGGAGCATGGGGAGAGGAGGGGAGAAGAGGGGGGAAGGGGAGTATAGGCGAGTCCACATGTAATGCAAAGCAGTACCAAGTAATTCCAAGAGATAGAAAGCACTAACAATTTGGAGGGGAAGGGAATCAGAAAAGGTCTCCTGTCTAAGGTGGTTACTGAATCCTGCTTTGAAAGAAGCTAAAAGGCAAGGGCAAGGAGGGTACGTTTCCAGACATGAGGGACAGCCTATGCAAAAGCATGAAAATGGGAGACGAAACAAGGTTCAGGAATCAGCTAGTAGGCCAGTTTTCCTGAAAGGGATGGCACATGAAGACAAATAACACCAAGTAAGACTGAAAAGGCAAGTGTGAGTCAGACTGTGAAGAGCTTTAAATGCCAGACTGATGATTTTATATTTTCTCCTAAGGACAAAAGTGAGCCACTGAAAATTTTTGAGTAAGGAATTAACATGGTAAGACCTGTTTTAGCAATGTCAATTGGAGGCTGTTTGGAGGAAGGATTAAGGAGGGGAGAGAATGGAAGGAAGATCAAATAGGACTCTAGTTGATATAGCTATATTGTAGATATAGATATATGTTGATTGATATAGATATATTATAGATATTATATAGTATTATAGATATAGCTATTATATATGAGTATAGCTCTATTAGATATAGGCAAGCTGATGAGGGCCTGAACTAGGATGGTGCTGTTTGAATAGAGAGGAGAGGTGTGGAAGCAGCTGGTGGTTGGGCAGAGGGTATAAAGGAGAGGAATGAGTCGTGGAAGGTTGTGAATATAAGTGACTGGAAGGATGGAAGTGCCCTCAACACTTTGGGAAAGTGTCAGAAAATTAGGAATTTTGGAAATGGACAAGTTAGGAGGAGGATGGGTTTGGGAGGACATAGAATTGAGTTTCATGGTGAGTTTGAGATACTTAGCAGACCTCAGGCAAGGATGCCTGGCAGGCAGCTAGCTAGCTGGCAATGCAGAACTAAGGTCTGAGAAAGAAATGAGGGCTAGATGTATAGATACTGTTTGATGTAGAAGTTTGATGGCAAAAATTAAACACCTAACCAGTAATAACTTGAGTTGAGATGAAAAGAACACATGAAAAATGAAGAATGCTCACAGGATTTGAGCATCTGTCTAATTTGTTAAACACATAACAAAAGATTTTTAATTCATTAACAGGTAAAAACAGAATGACAAAACAGTTGAAGTTGAGGTGAGGTGCTTTTCTTTGGAAGCTCACATATAAGACTTCATGTGCCAAAGGCCGTCATTTAAATAATGGATATTTTCAATACCAGTTCCTTTGTTGACTCTCACGCTGTGGAAGGACAAAAGCAAGTGAGCACGAATGTATATTTATGCTGCTTTATATACTTACCAGTGATCATTGTAAAGCTTAAGGATCAGGAGCATACCTACTGGGCAATTATAGAGTGCTGTGTAAGGCATTTACATTGTACTTATGTTATTAGCTATATTAAACTCTCTGTTTACAGCCCTCTGCAGTTCATGTGGCAAAGTGAAAAAGCATAAAGAATCAAGAGCTGGTGGCTTCGGAGAAGCTGGATCATGGCAGCCTCCACACTAGGAGAATATAAAAAACAGCTACATTAAGCTTACAAAAAACTAATAAGAATAATTCATCATCAAATGGGTGACAAAGTTGGGAAAAAGAGTGATTATACTTACAGGATATTGCTCATTCTCTACCTTCCCTTTACTCCCCAATTCAGAAAGTAAAAAAGATACTATTGCCCACCTAGAATAAATACTGTGAAGTCAGGAATAAGGCCACTATCCAAAATTAGCAGGAAAATCTGACTTTTTCCCAGTTTAAATCTTATTAACTATTCCAATTTGGGAAACATGGCTATTTTTAAGCCTACCAGAAAATCAATGACACATTGGTAAGTGTCAACAGCTTTCAATGAGCTAACACCATTCAGAAATAAGGAGTCTGTGCTTATCTATGGGGCACAAATCCATACAAGCTAATGAGCTTCCTGTATCATTGAGAGGCTTTTGGATCTGTGGTGTTTGAGGGAGACTTACATATCTTCGGCAGACATCTTCATGACCCCAACAGAAAGTGCATGCTGTTTTCCCTCTGCCATTACTGCCTGAAAATATGGTTAAGAGAAATCCAGTTCTGGGGTGAGAACACAGCAAAAGATCCATAGAAAAACAAGTCCTTAAATTGAGGCCATCGGATGTTCATATTACTAGTTAAGTCACCTTCAAAACATTCTCTCCACTCTCCAATCAATTGTTAGCAGAAATAATATTCACTACCCACTACAGGCACCACATTCAGAAAGCAGTGAGCCGAGGAATTTCTTGCGCAAAAAAATAAAAACCGCAATACTGAAAGGGTAAATGTTCAAGTACTACAATCACTAAAAAATGGGTGAGTTTTACATTTCAATATCCTCACAATAGTATCTTCTCCTCCTTCCTTTAAGAGGCTAGTGCATACAAGTGTTGTAGACTGCACATATTTTCAGACTTTTTCCATATACTGATCAACTATTATGCTGATTCTTTTTGTCTTTAAAAAAGATACTATTTGTTATATGGAATGGCTCTCTGGGACTGGGAGGAGATAACTGGGAAAACTATGGTGATGTAAAAAAACAAAAGACATCAATAAAAACTTGGTTTAAAAAAAAAAAAGTTTAGCGTATCTGTCCCAGCCTTTGTAGAATTCCCAGAATGCTCTAAGAATCACAAGAGACAAGCTCAGGAAGGGACCTTGGAGAACATCTAGTCTGACACCCTCATTTTAAAGACAGGGAAACTGAGACTCAACCCAAGGTCACACTACTAGTAAGCTGAAGTCTCAAAAACCTGATCTTACAAGTCAAATCCAATGTTCTTCCCATTTTACCTTTCTTCCTCCAGTACCATTTGAAGGTAAAAGTTGGCAAAATGCTAAATACTATGAAGTTCTGAAATTTTTAAAAATAAGACCATAAAATATTATGAAATTTAAAGGATTTAGCTAATTATGTAAACCTGCCAACACATACTGAAAAGAAATGACAAACCATGGGCATAACCAAGGTAATAAGGAATTATTATGTCTGTTCTCAGAATGTTTTTCAGCAGACCTTAATATGGTCAGTTTCAGAACAAAAATCACTCAATTTACAATTTATAGACAAATAGTAACCATGACTGAGGATCCCCTCAACTTCCCCTAGTATAGAAATTCCCTTCTTCCCAGGCAGTCAAAAGTGTTTTAAGGGGATGGGGGAGAATTTCCTTCCTAACCTGCAATCAAGGGCTTACATGAAGTGTATTAGCTAGAACTATGAATTCTTTTTTCTCATAGAAATGTTATAAACAGTGACCAGGTTCCCAGCAAAGTACACCAAAGCCTTTAATTTAGCTTAAATAGTGCTACGGTATCATATCTCAGCCACTTCAAAACTGCAAGGATGTGTGATTTTCTTGATGTAGGTACCAACCCCTCCAGGCAGATCAAACCCCTCAAACCTTCATAGATAGTTTAATGAGATGTGATCAAGCAGGCAGACAATAAGGGCTAGAGAAGAATGCCCGAGAAACAGCCACTTCAGAGCATGATACAGAATCAGAGTGGAATAAAAAGATGCCAATGCCATAATAAAGGCCCAGTTGAGATAAGATAACAAATGGATAGTGAACAGGTCAGCATGTCTGTGTGACTTTTTGCAGCAGCCTGGGAACAGGAACTGAAAGAGCAGATGGTGGGGTAAACCAGGCAGGGGTCTGGAAAGGAGCAAGCAGGAAGAGGATAAAAGGGCAAAGGAGCCATGGATGGTCATGATCATGGATGAAGTGGCTGATAATGGGGGTCAAGACTGAAGGGAGAAGAGTGGGGCCACCAGACCCAGATTCAAAGCTTTTCAAGGATGGTGAAAGCCCGGAGAGAGCTTATGCACCACTGCCCTAGCCCAAGTCACCTGCACACCATGACAAGGCATCAGAAAAGGCCTTTAGTGAAGGATTTAAGCTATATTCTTGGTTCAGTTGACCCTTGTGCATTAGTCTGGGAAGCCAATTACCATTTATAACAGTTTCTAGGGAAGAAAATATCCTAAGTTCCAAACAGCCAACTAAACAGTGAACTTTTGAAATACATAAATTCATAAGTTGAACAATGTAGTTAAGTCTCACTTCATCTAACTCAAGATTATTGCTTTAGTGAAAGAAACACTATACTTTGTTTCATAATTTCATTTTCACAAACTTTTTTTCAGATGTGCCTACTATGTGCAGAGCACTGTGCTGGCAGTAAGAAGAAGGTTAGTTAATTCCAGTGCAACCAGGTAATACACTCATAGAAATCAGCCTACTATCCCCAAAGGTGTGGGCAGCCAGGTGGCGTTGCAGTGGATAAAGTACCAGGCCTGGAGTCAGGAAGATTCATCTCCATGAGTTCAAATCTGGCCTCAGACAATCACTAGCTGTGTGACCCTGGGCAAGTCACTTCACCCTGTTTGCCTCAGTTTCCTCATCTGTAAAATGAGCTGGAGAAGGAAATGGCAAACCTCATCTGTAAAATGAGCTGGAGAAGGAAATGGCCAACCACTCCAGTATCTTTCCCAAGAAAACCCCAAATAAAGGGTCATAAAGAGTCAGACACGACTGAAACTGATCCCCAAAAGTATAGTGGACACCTGGGCTTAGAGTCAGGACGCCCTGGGTTCAAGTCCCAACTCTGACACTTGCTAGCTGTGACTCTGGAAAATCATTTGGAGCTCTGTGTAGTTTGGAGGAGTTGCTGAGGAAATGACCCAATCACTTACCCAAAGTAGTAACTTAACAAAATAAGTATAATGCAAGAGAAGTCTAAACAATCCCTCCACATCCCAGGCAATCTGATAAGAACTAGATTGAGCTAGATTTTGAGAAGCTCCATAAACCTCGAGGTACAGAGCAGTGACTGGTGATCTCCGTTGGGAGAGGGTGTTTCTTTTTTTTTCTTCTCTTTCTTTCTTTTTTTTTTTTTAAAGGCAATTGGGGTTAAGTGACTTGTCCAGGATCACACAGCTGGTAAGTGCCAAGTGTTTGGTCTGAGGCTGAATTTGAACTCAGGTCCTCCTGATGTCAGGGCTGATGCTCTATCCACTGCGCCACCTAGCTGCCCCTTGGATAGGGTGTTTCTTCACCTGGAGTTCCTTATACTAGTGAAATTACAGGCCTCGCTCTCCTGCTGCATCCCTCCCCCACTAAAAAGAAGAAAAGAAATGGGGTGTCACTCAAACAAGTTAGTCCTAAGAAATCAAACATAGCCCCCACTTCTTCAGTGTGTGGGAGATCACCATGGAGTCATACTGCTGCTACTCTGATGGACAATGGTTCTGAACAGAACTCAAAGAACAGAAATCTGAACAAGACACGAAGGGACACTGACGACACTCTGGGGCCATCACTCCCCAAGAAGGATACAACAATAGTGTCAGATGCAGCAGGGCAAAGCTTGGCTCCCAGAGAGGTCAAGCCTGGGCACATAATGTTTGCTCCACTGAGTACATATCTTATGGCTCCTTTATCAACTTGCTGGTGTGGAAGAATAAAAGGATCTGGAAGAAAAGAAATCATTCAATTAATAAGTTAAAAGACCCTGAGAGATAGCATCCACCACTGGGGACCAGGTCAAGCTCTCAAGCATTTGTAGACATTCTAGAAGGTTTCTCCGAGCTCCACCCACCCCAGTCCTTCCCAGTAGGATGCTGAATGGTACCAAGAAATGGTCACGGGACAACATTCAGCTAAATGTTTATGAAGTGCCTATTGTGTTCAAGTACTGGAGGTAATGAAAAGTATCCCAGATAAGACCCAACCTGTGCCCCCTGGGAGCTCACAGGTCTCACTGGCAGCAACTAATAATTAGAAGGAATATAAATCAATGAACTCGAATCATTAGCCCTGGCTTTAGTCTCAGCTCATAACCCAACACCTGCTTTTCAGCCTCTTGCACCTGGCTTGTGCATTAGCCAGTGAGTAAGTAGATTATTCTTTCATTAGGCATCAAGCTTTTTCAACATTTTAAATATGAGCATCTTTAGAGCTGCAAAATGGTTTACTTTAAAAACTTACTAGCCTCTTTCATTTCTCCCTATCCTCATTTAATTAAAAAAAAAAACCTTGCTATCACTCTTACCTAGCCAAATGCCAATGATCTGCTTGCCTCCCCTCCTCTTAAAGTCTTGTACCGAAATAGCCCTCCTGCCCCTGCCCTCAGCATCACCACATAAATGAAGGACTAACCCTCAAAAATACCAACTCATTAGTCAGGCCGAGCTAACACACATCCTTCTTTTTGCTCTGTGGAAGCTTATTTAAAATGAATTCTTGCCCAGTCAATCTAAGCCAGTGTCTGTCTTCAAAACTGAATGCTCCTTATAGGGTGGGCCTATTATCTTCTCTGAGATAAACTGTATGTGAACACCACCCAGCCAAGCAGTATGCAAATAGGGCTTAGGATCATAGGATCCCAGATCTAGAGGTGGAAAGGGGCCATCTACTCCAATCCCCTCAATTTATAGGATGAAACTGAGGACCACGGAAGGTAAGCAACTTCCCAAGGTCCCACAGGTAGTAAGCATTTAGCGGCAGGATTAGAACCCAAGTCCTGTGACTCCAAAACTAGTGCACTTTCCACAATACCTGGCCTGTAGCATTCTGGTAGTTAATGGGCCACTCCACTGGAGTCAATTCAGATCTATGAGTAGCAATTGCTATCGGGCAACATAAATGTCTTCTTCCTGGGCTCTACATTTGCTAACATACACCACGGAGAAGAACTGCTTATCAAGGGGACACTTTTCAGGTTTCTAAAGGGTGGGCTGATTTTAGCTTAACTTTCCATAGTAGCTTACACTAGTAAATAATAGCTTTATTATGAGAAAATATTTTTAAATTCTCTTATCATCTATAACTTGTTTTTCATAAAACTTACATTTATGAAGTAATCTGAGTGTTGGATAAAAATTTCCTTCTCTTTGCCTGAAAAACAGTAATTCTCCATTTACAGTGAGAATGTCAATATGTTCATGGCTGCAGGATAAATGGCAAAGTGTCAAATTAGATATTGTTTTTTTACAAATAAATTTAAAATATAAATAAATTCAATAAATAATAAATATAGGTCAAACCACCCTCCACATAGCTTATAAGGCCAAAAAAACATGGGTATCTCTGAGTAATTAAAAATTGAGGGATGGTCCCAGAGAGCAGATAATTAAATATCCCTCCCTCCTCAAGGCAGGGGCAAGGGATTCCTAGGGCAGAATGTCAGTGTCACTGGCAGATGAGGTCAATGCCCTGGGTGGTTTTGCTTAATTGCTTTTCTTTGTGACAAGAGAGTTCAAGTCATTCCCTAATTGATAAATGGTCAGAGGATATGAACAGGCAGTTTTTAGAAGAAATCAAAGCTGTCAATAGTCATATGAAAAAATACTCTGAATCACTAACAATTAGAGAAATGCAAATTAAAGAACACTTCACACCTATCAGATTGGCTAATATGACAGAAAAGGAAAATGACAAATGTTGGGGGGGACATGGAAAAATAGGAACACTACTGCACTGCTGGTTGAGCTGTGAACTAGCCCAACCATTCTGGACAGCAATTTGGAGCTATACCCAAAGGGCTATAAAACCATGCATATCCTTGGACCCAGCAATATTGCTACTAGGTCTGTATCCCAAAGAGATCAAAGAAAAGGGAAAAGGATGGATTATGTATAAAAATATTTACAGCAGCTCTTTCTGTGGTGACAAAGAATTGGAAATGGAGGGGATGCGCCCATCAACTGAGGAATGACTGAATAAGTTGTGGCAGATGATTGTGATGGAATACTACTGTGCTATAAGAAATGACCAGGGGATGGTTTCAGAAAAACCTGGGAAGACCTATATGAATTGATGGAGAGTGAAGTGACCAGAACCAGATCATTGTACACACAAACAACAATAGTGTAACAATGATCAACTGTGAAAGACTTGGCTACTCTGAGCAATACAATGATTCAAGGCAATTTCAAAGGACTCATGATGAAAAAATATCCCTCTCCAGAGAAACAACTGATGAACTCTGAGTACAAATTGAAGTATAATTTTCATTTTCTTTTATTTTCTTGATTTGTTTTGCAACAAGGCTAACATGGAAATATGTTTTGCATGATTTCATATGTGTAATTGATATCATATTGCTTTCTGTCTCAATGGGTGGGGGAGGGACTGGAGGGAGGGAGAAAATTGGGAACTCTAAATTTAAAAAAAAAGAATGCTAAAAATTATGAATTTGATTTTTAAAAATACAAGTGAGTTCAATGTGTTATCTAAAGACAAAGAGGTATCTAGAAAATGAGCTGCATTTTATGACATGGTTAAAAAAAGTTTAACATTCAGACGGGAATCAAACTTTCCAAATATTTAAAATAAGAACACTTACATTTTTCCTACAGTATCCATCTTGGTGGAATGGGAAAGGAACTAGCTGCAACCAATTTTTGTCCCAAAGTTAATGATCATAGGATCATAGGTTCATGGGTCTAGGGCTGGCAGGGTCCTCAGAGGCCATTAAGTCCAATTTCCTCATTTTACAGAGGATGAGCTGAGGCCCAGGGAGGGGAAAGGAGTTACCCAGGGTCACATAGAGAATAAACAGAAGAGCTAGGATCTGAAGCCAAGTCTTCTGCCTCCAAATCCTACAATGTTTTCACTATACCATCCTTCTTCTAAATCATTTTTACTCTTTCTTATTAAGTAATCTCAAGTAGTCTAAAACTATATATAATTATCTCATTTTATATCCCCAGTGTTGTGTTAAATGCTCATTGATACTGAAGTAAATGAAAAGGCCAAAATAGAAATGCTGAACTCCTTAAACACACGTACAACCTGAAGGAGTTTTTCTATATATGTCCATCTTAATAATTTATCACAAACATTTCTAAAGTGATATGTGTTTTTTCACCACCCCCCAAAACCAATCTCTAATGGCCTACCATGAAATTACATCCACTGGATATAAGGATAATAATTACTGAGCCTCATTGAAATCCACATACTAAAGTAGTGACTTACCATCGGACAATTTTGACTGGGTCTTTCTTTGGCATAATTTGATTGAGCCATGGCTCAATCCCTGGAAAGTGATCTATCAGTTGGTTCTTAATGCCCTTAATAACTGAGGTTTTCAGCTGGATACAGTTGGATACGCTCTCCTTTTCATCAAATCTGCCAAGTGATTTTTGCAGAAAAAACATTTCAGCACCACAGTGTATTACTTGAAAAATGAGATCTTCTAGGCAAAAAGACATCATAGAACAGGTTAAAGGTATTATTTTAGTTATGGACTTTTTTTGACACATCTATTTGGACAGCTAAAACCAAATTTCCTTTTTTCTCTTTTAAAGATGCTACCTCATTTTAGTTTCTGGTACATACAAACCCAGTTCAATTGTCATATCTACAGCAGTCTGCTGTGCAGCAGGGTAAGGGATAGAGACAGAAGAGGAAGAAGCGCTTTTAGGGTTAAAAATATAAATGACAAGAGTGACTTGAAGGCAGAAAGAAAACCTTCTAGGCAGTTACTATTTACTGACTGTGTGTGACCTGGGGCAAGTCAATTAACTTCAGGGAACCTTATTTTCATCATTCTATGTCAAATAGAGCTAATATTGGTACATCTTACCTCCCTGGGCTGCTGGGAGGATCAAATGAGTTGTCTTTAAGGCAGTTAGAAAACAATATACTATGAGAACTGGTACACAAACTTTTTAAGTCCTTTGACAGGGAATGTCTCATTTGTTTTTGCATCCCCAGCAACTAGCATACAGTAGGTGCTTAATAAATGCTTCCTGGTTTGAAGAGGGGGACCTTTTTCTCTCTAGGAGTAACTGATTCCCACTCTCCTCTCCCTAATATGGTTTCAAATCCCAATTTTCCATAAGCTATATGCTGTTCATGACAATGACCTATCAAGGTTACTCAAAAGAACCATTCTCACTAGGACCAGGAAGAGCCCATTCTCACTATCTTTCTTACACAGAACAAACCATTTTTAAAATGTGAGTTTTTGAAGGTGCTATATGCACCTGAGTCTTGGCTCCATGACTAGATTGTAAAAATTGGTTTCTGCCACAAACTGCTAAGCACAGTACTAGACAAAAAGTATTTGTTCTGGAAAGAATATGAATATAGGAATCATATATTTTATAATGAGAAAGGGTACTGCATAGTAACATTTCTGAATCAACAATTCTTCAATTTCTCACTACGTCTCTCCCTGCCTCTTTTCCCCATCAATAAAATGAGAGCTTTGGGTTAGATTACAAGGTCTCTTCCAGCTCCAGATCAAAAATCCTCTAGATGAACTTGGATACGTCACTTCCTCCCTCCCTGGGGCCTCAGTTTCCTCCTCTGGAAAATAAGAGGGTTGGACTCGATGACCTCAAAGATCTCTTGCAGCTGTGGGGCTCAGATCCTAGCCGGAGAAATTAATTCAGCAGCAGCCTGAGAGGAGTCTCAAATTAATTACAACACAAGATCTGGATGACTAATGGGTCTAGGGAAAAGCCTGCCCACGCCCTGGAGCAGGGAAGTCGGAAAAGGACTCGGAAGAGAGACTAGGGAAGAGAGGAGAGAGGGGATGACCGGTGGGGTGGCCGGGAGGGCTGGGCGGGGCGAAGGGGCGGAGACCCGGGCAGGGGGAGGCGCCGGGCTCCAGGGCCTCCCGCCTCCCACCTCCCATCTCCCCGGAGCCCAGACTTACTTTCTGAACATGGTCCCCGCTATGAAGAGAGCCGCCGGGAGCAGCCGGCCGCACCACGCTCCTTGAGAAGGCTGCCACAGGGACAGTACGTGACCTTCCCGCTCGGGAGGGAGGTGCCAATGCGCCCTTCTCTGGGGCTGGCAGGAGCCCTTTACGGCTCTGTCGCGCCAAACACGTGGGCTGCCCCGCCCTGCGCATCACTTCAAGCCTTCGGCCTATAGCCCCCCCCTCCCTGCGTGCCCGGTGCCCCTCGAGCCAGGGAGGGATCGGTCACCAAGGACGCTGGAGACCCCGAATCCCTAGGAATAGAGTTGGGAGCTCCTCTAGTCCAGGCCTCCGATAGTACAGAAGAGCAAAAGAGACCCATTGAAGGCAACTGATTTGCCCAAGATCCCAAGTAAGATCTGAGCTCTAGAGTTGGAAGGGACCTCAGAGGCCATCTAGTCCAACCCTCTCATGTTCCAGTTGAAGAAACCTAGGCCTGAGCAGGAGAAGAGATTTTCACAAGGTCATACAGGTGGAAAGTGTCACAGGCTGAATTTGAACGCAGGTCCTTTGATCCCAAAGCCATCTTTTTTTTTTAATTTTTTTTATTTAAAAAATTTTTTTTTTTCCTTTTGGTGAGGCAGTGGGGTTAAGTGACTTGCCCAGGGTCACACAGCTAGTAAGTGTTAAATGTCTGAGGCTGTCAAAGCCATCTTATTCCTATAAATTGGCACCAAAACGAGGGTACAGGTCATGGGAGTAGAAGGAAGGAAACTATTGTGAACTCAGCTTATCCAAAATAGGATCATTATATTTTCCCCAAAATCCACCCCTCTTCCAAACTTCCCTATTTGTACTAAAGCACCAGTCTGACCATGTCAGTCCCTCCTCAATAAACTCCGGTGGCTCTCTATTGCCTACAGGACGCTCTGTTTGGCAAAGACCTTCATGACACAGCCCCCTCCTACATTTCCAGTTTTCTTACATCTTATTCCCTGCCACATACTCTTTGATCCAGTGACACTGGCTTCCTGGCTGTTCTCCATCTGTCAACTTCAGGCATTTTCTCTGGCTGTCCCCCATGCCTGGAACGCTCCCCTTCCTCATGTCTGCCTACTGACCTCTCTGGGCTTCAAGTCTCAACCAATAGACCATCTTCTCCAAGAAGCCTTTCCCAGCCCCTCTTCTAGTGCCTTCCCTCTCTTAATTGTTTCAAATTGATCTTGGAGAGAGCTTGTCTGGCCACACTTGGTTCCAATTTATCCTGTCTATATCCTGTCTAAATCCAGTACACGCTGGTTTGCTTTTTGTCCCCCACAGTAGACTGTGAGTTCCTTGAGAGCAATGCCAGCCCTCTGCATCTTTTTGTCTCCCTAGCCCGTAGACAGGGCCTGACACATACTAGGCTCTTAATAAATGCTTATTGACTGATGCACGGTTGACCACCTTGTCCAATTCTCTGTCATTGTACAAACATAAAAAATGGGTCCTGGTGTGGAGAAATGACTTATTCAAGGCCACAGTAGTAAGCATCTTTCTTAGATCAGATTTGAAGCTAAGTTCTCTGCCTCTATAGTCAGTGACGCTTACCCCCCCCACTCCATTGTCTCTCTTCTCATCTAGTTCAATAAAAAGCCAGCCATTAAATCATTAGGTGAACAACTAAGTCTAATTTTATTTCTACTTTTTCATATTTTTCATAGAATTAAATTCAGAAATCAGAAAAAAAATTCCTTTTTAGACTATCCTCCTGATTTCAGATTCGGACATTATAATCATGATGATATAGTGGAAACCCATTGTTGAGTAGGTAGAATTATTTAGGACAGGTTAGGATGGTGGCCAGCTGTGGGCTGACAATTTGGATCCAACTCAGCAGCTCCCAGGACATGAAGGGAAACTGTATTGGTGAGGAGACAATTCCCCTACCAGGCTAAAGTTAATAGGTAGGGAACTATGAAGAATCAAAAATACCAATTCACATTACATAATAACATTCATTTCATTGACGTGGCTTGGGCAGCTATGTGGCAACGTAGTGGATAAAGCACTGGGCTTGGAGTCAGAAAGACTCATCTTCCTGATTTCAAATCTGCCCTCAGACACTTACTAGCTGTGTGACCCTGGGCAAGTTACTTCAGCCTGTTTGCCTCAGTTTTCTCATCTGGAAAATGAGCTGGAGAAGGAAATGGCAAACCACTTCAGTATCTTTGCCAAGGAAACCCCAAATGGGGTCACAAAAAGTTGGACATGACTGACTGAACAATAAAACGTGGCTTACTGCAGACATGATCAAATATGGTCAAAAGTGCCACAGGATTAGTAGACAAATGTTAATCATCATGACATCACAGATCACTCAAGGTAAAAAAAAAAAAGTCCAGAAGATTTCTTTATACATAAACTGAGTCAGAGTCCTAGCGAGGGACTTGAAGCTCAGAGAGGTTACCTGAAGTACAGAGGGTCACACAGCAGTGTCAGAAATTGGATGTATGAACCCAAGTCTTCTTTCTCTAACAAGTTATTTGTTTGTTTTATTTTTTAATGCTTAAATCTAGAAGTTGAAGGTAATCTAAAAGATTGCCAAATTTCTTGTTTTTGATTTGAGAAACCTACCAGATCTCATTAGCCACAAATAAGAAACTGGAAATATCAGAGAAGTATAGACTCTTAGAGCTAGAAACTGTCCCTGGAGCAAGGATCTCCTCTACAACACTCCCAATGAATGGTTATATAGCTTCAAAAGATAGGGGAGGTCAGCTCCTGGAAGGGAGGGACGTTGTTTTTGCCTGTCTTTGCATCTCTAGCAGATACCACAGTGTCTGCCACATAGTAAGGGATGATTGGATATGAGAAGCAAAGAAGAGGGAAGAGGCAAAGAGAACCCCAAGGTCATAGGCCCATAGATAATAGAGCTGGAAGAGGTCACCTAGTCCAACCCCTTCGTTTTTTACAGATGGGGAAACTGAGGCTCAAGGAGGGGAAGGGACTTACCCAAGGTCACACAGAGGATCATAGATCTAGAGCTGGAAGGGACCTCAGAGGTCAGCTGGTCCAACCCCTCATCTTACAGAAGAGGAAACTGAAGCCCAGGGAGGAGAAGGGACTGGCCCAGGGTCCAACAGCAGTCAGAATTCGAACTCAGATCTTCTCACTCAAAATCCAGTGATCTTTCCACTATACAAAGGAGGAAGATTTCAGGATGCATGGTAGAAAGGCAGGACAGAAGAACTTTTTTTTTAGGATCATAGGATTTAGAACTGAAAGAGGCCTTAGAGATCACTAATATTATTTTTACTTGTTATATTATTATTAACACTATGATGAAGATGAATTTGGCAAATTAACAAACATAAACATTTCCTCTTATGAAGAAGAGAAGAAAAACGGATTGTGTATGAGACAAACAGGTTGGCTTTTTTTCTTTAAGTCCATATTGAATTTAACTTGCCAACACCTTCATTTTGCAGATAAAGAAAGTGGGGCCCATAGAGATGGAGCGATTCACCCAAGATTACACAAATAGTAACTAAGAGAGCTGGGATTCAAACCCAGCCTTTTGGTCCAAATTCAGTCTTCTTTCCATCACCCCATGCTCCCTCAAAATGGGGGCCGTGGTCCTGTCTTCCTGGTCCCTCGATTGGTTGGCTCAATAATTTATTTTTCATTGTTATCACTCTGGCCCCCATGAACTGCCTGCCTAGACCATTACAGTGACAGATCTTCCCACCTCAACTCTCTTTCCCCATCAATCCAACCTTCAAACACCTGCCAGAATCATCTCACCAATTTATGTGCTTATATGACTTCTTTCCTCCTTTGAGATCTTTCTTTGGAAATTTCCAAAAAAAAAGTCTTCAGCTATTCCTTCTCGTCTCCTGAATGAAGCTCCCATTGCTTTGCCTGGCATTCCAAGGCTATCTACAATTGGGCCATATCGAACCTTATCCCTTGTCTCACTCTAGGTCCTAAGCTCCCACCCCCCTGGCTGACTCTTGGAGTGTCCCCTATCCTTATCCCGACCATGCTGGGTACTCTTTTTTTTTAAAAATAGTAAATTTATTTATTTATTTATTTATTTTTACAAGAATTATCAGTCCCTTCAAATCCCCCCAACAACCCCTGTGGGCAAATTTTAAAAAAAGAAAAGAAAAGAAAACCCTCATTACAAGCAAGCATAGTCCAGAAAAACAAATTTCCATATTAGTCAGGTCCAAAAATGTATGCTTCTTTCTTCATTTTAAGCTCAACACCGTTTCTGGCAAGAGGTAAAAGTGGTGGTGTGTTTCAGCTTCATTCTCCTGGACTTGTGGTTTAGCCTGGCATTAATCAGAGTTCTAAAGCCATGTAAAGTTAATTTTCTCCATAATATTGTTGTTAATGTGTAAATTGTTCTAGTTCGGCTCGCCTCACTCTGCATTCATTTGTAGATGTCTTCCCACTTTCCTCTGAAACTGTCCATTTCACCGTTTTTATAGCACAATAATATTTTATTGCATTCATATACCATAATTTTTTAGCTATTCCCCCAATAAGAGGACAGCCCCTTAATTTCCAATTGTGGGGGGGAAATTCCATTTTGGGGGCTACTATGAAAAGAATTGCTATAAATATTTGTAGTTATATAGATGCATATTTATAGAAATACATATGTGTGTGTATATATCCTTTTGCTCTTTTTTTAATCTCTTTAGGGTATAGGTCTAGTAGGGGTATATCTGGGTCAAAGGGAATTCAAAATTAATTAACTTTGGGGTATAGTTCCATATTGTTTTCCAGATATGTTTTGCATGTATAATTGATATCATATTGCTTGCCTTTTCAAGGGGAGGAATTGAGGTTAGGAAGGGAGAAAATTTAAAATTTTTAAAAATTAATGTTAAAAGTTTTTAAAAATGTAATTGGGAAATATTTAATGAAATAAATAAAAATAGTTTTTAATTACTTTCCAGAAAGGCTGGACCACTTCACAACTCCATCAACAATTCTCTAAGTGTACCTATTTTCCTGTAGCCCCTCCAGCATTTGTCATCTTTTGCCATCTTTTGTCAGTCTAGTGGATATGAGGGGGAACCTTAAAACTGCTTTAATTTGCAATTCTCTGATCATTAATGATTTAGGGCACTTTTTTCATATGGTTATTGATA